TACTATAATTACTATTACCCTAAACCCTACTATCTAATTATTGGGTACTTGGACCCTTTGAGTAAGGTTTGGGATTTAGAGTTTGGGTTTAGGAGTAGAGGTACCGGCTTCTTCTTTATATGCCCGGGAAGGCCGTCCAATGCAGTACTGTGTAGGATAAACAATGAGACAACCAAATCTATGCACGCCCTGATATTCAGTAGGAGCCCTATATACATTCACCAGAACCTAACATGAAGTTCTACTCAGAATGCCCTCTCCCAACCCTCTTCTAATAGATATTCCCCAATCATGTAGACCCCGGATTAATAAACCCCCTGCCCTTAGTAGGGATTACAATAGGGACCCTAATATCTAGGCCATTAAAAGGAGGGGGTTTATTAATCATGGGTCTACATTATAGTACCATTATAAAGACTTGCTAGCAGAGGGGAATACCCCAGAAAGGCACAGCCCTGAAGCGCTATAACTCTTCCCCTCAGTCTCATGCGCTTGGCCACTGTTCCAAGTCGGTATGTGCAAAGCGCGTCGCGCAAGTCATGGATGCTTGCGGCATGCCGCTGAAGCGACACAATTCAGCATAAGGGCTCTTCTTCAATATCACGCGACCGATAATCAACATCCTACATGACCCCAAGTACCCTACACCTTGGAGGTTATGGTATTCTTGGATACCAGCAGTCCGAACTCCATGTTTTTTACTTGCATATCCCGCGCCATCGCACAACCTGGTCCAAATGCCCTAAACCTAATTTCTGAACCCTAACACCCAAAACCCCTTGCTCGATTCCATGTAGCCTCGCAGCCCCTCAATATGGAGGTTAGGATGTACTGGGAGTTTTCAGGGTTTGTGTTGGGTTCAAGGTGTGTTGACGGCTATGGTTCTTCAGATTTCGTGTTTTCTTGGGATAGGGTATACCTACCTAGCACGAACATCATTCAAGCATCCGAAGCTATCTCACAGTTCACATCGCCTCAGCATGACCTGACAATGACGCTGCAACTGTTGAGGTTCTGGGGTCTAGGCTCGAAGACCCTAAACCCTGAGCCCCTAAACCCTAAACCCTCTAGCGCGAAATCAAACATGTTCAGTCCCAATACCCTGCAACCTACATCCTCAACCCTATATCCTAGGCCGTAAAGCACGACTATCCTAACCCCTCAGCCCTGTATCCTACACCATGGACCCTGCAACGGAGGCCCTAGGCCTTACTTACATCCTAAACCCTGAACCTTTTATCCTAAACCCCAAATCCCGCATCCTAAGCCCCACACGCCAAACTCTACACCCTAATCAGCAGAGTCGGAAGTGCCAATTGAAGTTACTGGCGTACTACTATACAAAAGCCTAAACAGTTACCAACATAATTGTCAGGTCCTCTTGAAGTACCCTATACCATAATCAAACAAAGAGACTCCTACCATTGTCTTGATACTTGTTCAGGCGTCTACTCGACATTACAACCCCGATGCACCCCAATGTGAACAAAGGTGTCCAATTCATGGTTCATCTTCTTTGCCACGTGGATCGCGATTTGTTTACAACAATTACGCGAGGAACCTGACCCACAAGATTGGTGGTTATTCATTTGAGATATAGGAGATTATCTTAGGGGCTATTAAGGAGAATACTAGGAGTTCAGACTATAGCTTATTCAGGGCGTAGGGCTTAGGGCTTGCAACCCTATATAAGCGAGATTTCGATACACAGAGGGTACCCTGGAGGGGCCCTTTGCCAAGACTGTCCTGGGCTTTGTGGGGGAAGCTTTTGGGCGATGAGTGCTAAAATTTGGCATCTCACTATGAAGGTCCCAGAAACTTTAGGACATTTACTGATCATATACCCCTAAACCCTAAACCCTAAATCCTAAACCCTAAATCCTTAACCCTAAACCCTTAATCCTAAACCCTAAATCGCCGTACACAAACCTGATTCGCAGCAGATGTTTGGTACTTTCCAAAACTAGGGATACCCCAATATAGACCCCAAAATACTATAGTCCTTATTATGGGGACCCCCAAAAAGGTACCCATAATTTTGGGAAACTCTAAACCCTATAATCCCCTATAGAAACCCAGTTTCAATTTCATTTTTCATTTTCTTGTCCATTTGATTCTCCATTATAGTAGATACCCCTAATTTTGGGAAACCCTAAACCCTAATCCCTAAACCCTATATAGCCCTATATAACCCTATATAACCCCTTATATCCCCCTTTAAAACGGTACCCCTAATTTTGGGAAACCCCCAGAT